TTATTTAAATGCTTTCCCCCTGATTTATAAATCTTAAATATATATAAATGTCTTTTGACACACGACTCTAGTTTAGTGCTACTTAATATTTTAAATACCAAACAAAAATAACATTTTAAATGTGCATTTATTGAAGCTGAAGGTGTTTCAGTGGGCCTTATAGACCCAGATCAGCAACATGTGCCCGGTCTGGATTTAGAAGAACTTTGGGAACCATCCCTCGCTCTTTTTGGGGATCTGGCTCTCAGCGTCCTCGACCTGCGACTTCATGGCGCTCTCAGCTTTCTGCCAGTCCTGCTCCTTCTCCTTCTCCTTCTCTTGCAGAGTCATCTGGAGGCTTTCTGTGGTCTGAAGGAGGGTTGACCTGTCGACCTGCCACTGGACGCGATTCCACTTCTGCTCAGCCTCTCTTAGGGCGTCCACCAGCTTGAAGTTGGCCTGTTTTTGCTCCCTGAGCAGAGGCATGTAGGAGGTCTTTCTTTCCTCGGCCTCCGTCAGCAGGGAGGCTTTTTCCTCCTGCCAAAGGAAGAGCTGATTTCCAAGCTTATCTTCAGCTTGTTTCAGGAGCACTGCCATTTTCGTTTCCTGCATCTGCAGCTCGGAAAGATGGGTGCGATGGGCTCCCTTCAGCTGTGAAGTGAGGCACGTTTTCTCCTTGCGCCACTGGCGATTTAGGCTCTTAAGCTCCTGCTGAGTCTGTCTCAGTGCAGACTTAAGCTTTGTTTCTTTTACCAGTTGAGTGTCAAGGGCAGCTGTTGATTTTTGGAGGTTTTCTGTGGCCTGAAGAAGGGTTGACTTATCGTCCTTCGACTTGATGCGATCACGCTCAAACTTCTGCTCAGCCTTTGTTAGTATCTCACTGAGCTGAGTCACATAGGAGGTTTTTCTTTGCTGGAACTCTGTCAGCAGGGATGCTTTTTCCTCCTGACAAAGGAGAAGGGCAGCTGAGGATTCTTCTGCCTCATGGAGAAGGCTTCTGGAGAGACTCTGAGCTTTCTGCAACTCCTTCTCTTTCTCCTGCAGAGTCCTCTGGAGGTTTTCTGTGGTCTGAAGGAGGGTTGACCTGTCGTTCTTCGACTTGATGCGATCACGCTCCAACTTCTGCTCAGCCTTGGTTAGTATCTCATTGAGCTGAGTCGCATGAGAGGTTTTTCTTTGCTGGAACTCTGTCAGCAGGGATGCTTTTTCCTCCTGACAAAGGAGAAGGGCAGCTGATGATTTTTCGGCCTGCTCCTGGAGAGTGATTTTCTCCAGCTCCAAGCGGCGGCACTGCACTTGTGAGACACATTCTACCTTTTCCAGGGCAACTTGGAGGTTCTTGTTCTCCTCTCTCTCTATTTGGAGATAGCTCTCCAGGTCCACCTCCACATTGGTCTTTGAGACTGCCAGAAAGTGTCTCTCAGCATGAAGCTTATTCTGAAGGGCCTCTTTCTCTTCCTTCATGTGCTCCAATGAAACGTTCTGGTCCTTGTTTGTGGAGGTCAGTTGCATGACATCTTTCTGGGCTTGGCGAAGCATGGGGCAGATCTTTAACAGCTGAGTTTTCAGATGCTCTAGCACACTGCTGCTTTCAGCCAGCTGGGCCTTCAGGCCACCAATCTCTTTCTGCATCTCTTCTTTCTCAGGGTAGCATTTGGTGACTTCCTGTCTTTCTCTTAGAAGATCAATGAAGTTGGCCAGTGAGTCCTCTTGTATTTCCAGAAGGACTCTGCCCTCAGATTTTCCTGGGGTGATCCTCGCTTTACTGTCCTGCAGTTTACTCTGGATTTCTTCTTCCAGGTAACTCAGGTAGAAGTTAATGGGAGGGTCAACCTCAGTTGAGTCGAAATCAATGATTTCCATTCTCCAGTTTAAGTTGTGAGAGTACATGTCTTCTCTGAAACGAGCTGTTTTCTGAGTGAAGTTTGAGTCTCTAGTCCTAGACTTAAAGGGTTTTAAAGTTCTAGAATCCTACAACATCATTCGGCTTTGATGGTCATGGATTCTATTCTTTCATCAACATTCCAAGTGTCACATGATCATCAAAGAATTGATGTGTCCCTTAGAATGAAAAATGTGCGGAACACACATAAACACCCTAACAACCAGAACAATTATTTCCCTAAAGGCTTTTTCCCCGGCGAGATAATAACAATGAATTAAATGTATGTGGAAGATTTGATGATATACTTCTTAGTGTAAACTATATAGAATTAAGCTTTATTTGGAAACAAAGAAAACTTAAAAAGTATAAAACACTGATGGTGTTACGGCCGCCGCCTCCCCGGTCGTGTTAACTCTGCTTTGACTGTGTTTTATGTAAATTAGCTGTGCGGTTGCCCCAAGCCCCCAGGAAGTGAAAACTACACTTCCGTTAGGTTGCTGGGCCCGGAAACACTTGTTCCCATTGACTTACATTGGGAAAGAGTGGTCTGTAAATCGTTGGATAATTTTTTTTAAACTAAATAAACTACCCAGTATGAATGTTTGTCTAGCCCTTATTAAAAACATTCGGTCCTCAAGTTGTAAAATGTGCTAATAACGTTATTCTGAGAGTTATTTCCCTCGGCATTATGAACGCGCATCTAACCCACGGGACCGCGCCGCCCGGCACGTTCATGTTACGTGTTCAGTACTACATGCGTTTTACCTTTACCCATGGATGCCCAATAAGAACGAACCATATCGTCTTACTGCCAGTGAGCCCACGGAGCTGTAATAATGGATATATTGCACATGTTTGCTATAATTAATAATTTGTAAAATATTATACTACATGGGCTGTATGATGTAAATCTTGTACCGTAAATGTTGTATTAAATAAAGTTAATATTACTGACGTAGATTAACATTCCTGTAGCTTCTTATTGCACTAAGAAGCTTATTGCACTGTCTATATATGTATATGTATGTATGTATGTACGTATATATGTATATGCATGTATATATATACATACATATACATATATATATATATATGTATGTATATATACATGCATATACATATATATGTATATGAGTAGGGCGTGCCGACAATGGCTGTTCAGCTTAGCGAATCAGTGCATGAGAAGCTAAACGGAAGTGAGGGACCCAAACAAACGATTAAGAAGGCAAATCTGAGATTTCATTTAACTCCAGCTCTCGACACAGGTTCAGGAAAGCCCCATGAGCTTCTCGCTGTAGAGTGAAAATGGAACGCACACGCTATTTGTTGTTTGTTTATATCACGCAGTCTGTTCTTCTTTTCTCGGTGTATCACTCAGTCTGTCTTCCGGTCCCTTTGTTGGTTGCTTATTTAAACCTGCGCCCTTTTGGCCCTTTTGGCCCTTTTGTTTGCTCCAGGCTGCTTGCCTTCCATTTTGTTATATTATTATTTAATAAACTACCAATTCCAACTGGTGTATGTTGCTTTTCCTTTTCCCCTAGTTGGGACGTAACCGATGGGTAACTATAATAAACTAATGTGATAATTTCCTATTAACACTAAGGTGTGTGTATATGTGTGAGAAAGAGAGAGAGAATGGAGAAGTAACGGTGAAACCATGGGACATAAAATGTTGTCAGTACAAATTACTCAGTGTTTGTCTCACAAATGGTGGTCTCCTGGGTGAGAATCCTGTGTTTGTTTGACCCATCCATGCCAAAGCGTTCTTCGGCACTCTTTATAAACGTCTGTTGTTCTACTAATGACGCAGATGTTTACATTTCACTCAGACAGACCATGTGTTGTGCGTCTGTATCGAGACGACAGTGCCACTGCCCAAGTATCAGTATGCAATGCCCTGGGAGTGAGACCTGTCTGCAACAGTCCAGCGTAATAGGAACATTATCTAAATTGAGACCTCCCTCGTTAATAGTCAACATGAAATGCTTCCCATACAGATCAGGCATCAGCGACCTGTTCTGCCTGCACAGTGGTGATTTTAGCCTTGCTGGATCCATTAGCACATGGAAAACTCTGGGCCGAAAGAGAAGTCGTAATGACATGAAGCCCATTACAAAAGTTTGCAAAGACAAACATTATGTTTCTTTCCTGCTATTCCCCAGTCAGTCCTTTGAAATAATCAGATTTTCCAATCAACACATTCAAGTTCAAAATAGAAATCTCCTTATTTCATGGTTATTTTGTTAAGGAATCAATTGGAAAGCGAAAGTAAGAAGGGAAGTAGATGAACGCAGTCAAGTGTGCAGTGACAAGGTTACAGAAAGGTCTGAGTCAATTATATTAGAGGGTCTATTAAAAGTACTAGAGATGAATGCCTTAAAATCTTTCACAGGCCTCTCTGACCCATTTCTCCAAACTACTGATTCTTATCCCAGGGGAGAAAATATTCTCACCTGTGCTGAATACCCCTTATTTAATGGTATGATTTGCACTCTGTTTATTCAAACACAACCTCAGGACATTAGATATAGTGCCTGGTGGGACCCAGCCTGCCTTCTGCATAATTGATAAGGGACTTAATATACTCTCCAAAATGTCTTCTTGTCCTACTTTTTACTAAAAGCTTTGAGTAATATGCTTTGACTGATGGCCAATGTATTGTATCAGGATCAACCAAACACATACAATTAAAAAGCAAAATAGAAACAAAACTATTTAAAACCCAAACTAAATAAACAAAACACTAATACAACAAAAAAAGAGACAATCTAGTCGAAAACAGAAACAGAAAAGAGCCACAACCTTAGGATGGACACGGACATAAGATAAATTATCGAAGTATAGATTAACAGTCAACCATAACATTACTGAAAGCATATGACGTTTTTTAATGTTGCACTCTAAAACTTGAACTCCTCAAGTATTTAATGACCAATGAATATTGCATAAAGTCATGAATTATTCAAATTTGATACAGCATGTCAGTCTTCATATTTTGGATGGCATACCATCAAGTGTCTCAAGGAATCTTTCTTTAAATTAACTACAGCTAAACTTTAAAGTTGCTTCTAAACTATTTTATCAGTCATTTACGCAATTAAGGATTTGATGAAAGTCCATGTCTATGTCTTCTCACCTGTACTGAGCCTGGAAGTGTTCCTGGACAAAACTGTGTCGATCCCGGGGCTGCTGGGTGCCGACTGAACTGGGACTGGAAGGATGCTCAGATGAACTGGGTCCCTGCAGACAGAGAAAAATACTTATGTTAGTGGACTTGGTATACTCATATTTTAAGACACTCTTTGCTGGCATCTTCAAAATGGATGCTTTTACTTTGTAATCTCATAAAGCCTATTGAATTGACTGTATTGAATGAAACATAATAAAAATCCAAACATCTCATACATGCCATCTTATACATTAATTTAAACCGTGATAAGCAACATTGTTCTTATAAATAGGTTGTCATCAGTCTAAATAAAAAATATATATTGTGAAAAAATTGACTTTGTGCTTAACCTGTAGTTGAAGGAACATTCACAGACCATGTACTGTAACAAAATGAAATCTAAAGGAATTATATGTGATGGAGTAAGATGGGTAAATCATAATTTTTGCTAAACAAAAAGTACAAGATGATCAAACATAGCGATGTAGAAGAAGGAGAAACAATAACTTGAACATCTGATTCAGACATTTTTTTATTTCACCTTTCTTTATTGATTTTCACTCATATCAAAACAGAACAGGGCACATGAAAATGCAGATGTGTAATCCTACAATTGAATTGAATTACATTTGTACCACAAATAAAAATGTCATTGCAGTACATATACTATGCAAGCACATACACATATTCATATACACCCACAGATGCACTTAAAGAAATAAAATAATAAAATAAACAAAATAAATAATACAATCCAATAAAATAAACAGTAAATTAAAAGGGAAGGTCGGGGGGGGGACTTCATGCAGTCAGATTGGCACAGGGGAGTTAAAATAGTCAAGGAAAGGCTGCCAGAGCTTGTAGTATTTGTTAACACATCCCTGGCTACGATACCTCAGCTTCTCCAGCTGCAAATGTGCCATCACATCCCTCACCCAGTGGGCATGAGATGGTGGAGTCCGGTCTTTCCATTTGAGGAGGATTAGACGGCGGGCAAGAAGGGTTGCAAACGCAAGTGAGTGTGACTAGCAATTAGAGACAGAGACCCCCTCAGGGGCTACTCCAAACACAGCTATTATGGGATTTGGTTGTATGTTCTGGCCATACATCAATGAAAAAGTTTCAAATATAGAAGACCAAAATGGGGCAATGGACTGACAGTAGAAAAACATGTGCAATAGGGTAGCCGTGGCACAATGACACCTCTGGCATGTGGGATCAACATCAGGGTACAGCCTGGCAAGCCTGCTCCTGCACAGATGTAATCGATGGAACACTTTAAATTGAAGTACACTCCATGCCTCACACAGACGGAGGATTTATGTATGTTCTCAGTCGCAGACCGCCAGGTCTCATCAATTAGTTCTATGCCCATTTCTTCTTCCCAGGCACCCTTAAGGTGGTAAAGGGAAGGGCTAGAGATTTCTTGAATAATATTATATAGCTTTGAGATACAGGCTGAAGTTGAATAGTCCATTTAGCTTAGGAACCTTCCTAACGGAGTGAAATGACCCGGAATTCTCGAGATGATAGGAAAGGAGGTTTCAAACTTCCTTTATAACCTCCTTTAGCTTAGGAACCACTGGACCTCCCTTGACGAAAGGAGAGGAGAAAGTGCAGCATTTGCCGTCACACAACAGTCGGCCGTTCACGGAAACAACCGATTATGACCGAGAAATTATATCATGAAAGTTACGGTGCTTATTAAGCATTTTAAAACGTATGTGGTAAGTTGCCAAAGTGCTTTTTTCTGAACGTTCATCAGTATTATAATCAAAAAGAGAAATATGGTAAATAAAGTCAACATCTCACATTCTTTACTGAGCTGTGTGGGGTTTGTTCAACTTTTAAAAGATGTTTGAATGGTGATATACACAGTGATAGATGTTAAGGACTAACGTTTATAATAAATACATTTGTATTGATTTTAAGATATGTTCATAGTTCATACGTATTGGGATCATTTGTATTAATGTGGACCGGAGGGAGAGGGTGACGAGCATAAGTTTCACTTTCCTTTTTTATTTCAATTCCAACTTTGGTCATGAAGAATATGTTTCTCTGTTGTCCACGTTCATAAAGCATAAAACAACAGCATCAGAGCACGGTGCAGAGTCTCTAGATGAGTTTACAGTAGTCCCTCGTTCTTATTATACATCCATGTTGTAGTCCGCTGTATAGAAAACTGTAGTTTCCATAGTTTCCCCACAGCAGCAGACGCACATTCATCACGTCCCTTACCAAAATGAACTATAGTATTACTATAGTATACTATAAGAGTTGTATAGTATCCTATAGTAAGTTTGTAGAGTTCTATAGTATTTTTCACCAGCTATCGTATTACTATAGTCTTTTCTGTAGTGTCATTTTACTAGCTATAGTAGCCCTATAATATTTCAATAGTAATACTATGTATCTAGATCTTTGTAGTATTCCTATATTATTTTCAATATTATAACTATAGTATAATATATAGTGTTTCTGTAGTTGTTTTTTGAACACACTATAGACCACTCCTATAGTAATATGATATTGTCATAATGAATGCACATTATTACCATAGTGTTTGTAAAAGTATTACACTCCTAGAATTAATGTGTCATTTTTTTGAACACACTGCTGTGTCAAAGGCAATTCAACACATTCAGTGTCATTTCTGAACTATTTTACACACATGTGTGTACGTAGAAAAAATAAAAATGCACATAGTCAACACATTAGTTTTGACTAACACTGGGCTAACATTGGGCACTGTCATTGGGCACTGTCCTGCCCAATCACGGGTGAGTTATTTCAAATGTATCATTTTTCAACTGTCCAACTGTCCATCAAATGTCCCAACTGCCATTTCACTTCTGGCTGCTGTGGAGGATGGATGTCAGCGAGGAGAGTCTAACTCTAGGTAAGTTACAGAAACAAAACGTTTTTAACAGAGTGAGCAGATATATTGTCATAATGTGAGCAAGCTAGGGGTCTAAATACATATTTTTAAACTTAAATAAATATGTTTTGCCAATGTTGAACAGCTAACTATTGTTTGAGTTTAGCTGCCTGGATGACAATTATTTTCCTTTAAGCCGTTCTTCTTTTTTATTATATTTATTTTATCTTAACTTAATGTAGCTTACAGTCTTTTCTGTGACCATCATTCTTCAATCGGTATTATATTGATATCATTAGCAGCTATATGTTTAATGCTATCTATCTACTTTGGCTAGGTTTCATTGTTCGGCCAGATGTGGCGGGAAAGTGCGAGTGAGCAGACCGACAGAGGCTGCGTTGATATACAGTCTCTTACAGTGCAAATACGTAACTTACTCGCACTAAAGTTATTAGTAGTACGTGTACACTACAGTTTACCTGTTTCTGACTAAAACATCAGCCACTACTCTATACTTGCAAGTATTATATTGTGTAGAAGGGATATTTCATATCTGCCTCTTGTCGCTAAGGCAACTTGTGTATGTGAGATGCAGCGTCACGCACGGCACGTTAGGGCCGGCGGGCTTTCCTTCCGACCAATCAAATCGTTGGGAGGGAAGGCCGGCGGGCTTTCCTTGACATGTCCCTGACACAGCGGACTGCGGGTGTAGTATAGAGTGAGTGTAGCGTGCAATACTGTGTTTCACGAAAAAACACAGTAGTCCCTCGTTCTTATTATACATCCATGTCCGCTGTATAGAAAACTGTAGTTTCCATAGTTTCCCCACAGCAGCAGACGCACATTTATGACGTCCGCTGGCGCATCATAAACACGTCGGATAGTGAAAGTGCATTCGGATTCTCTAAAGTACCGTGGTCTCTTCTCCTAAGTCCTTTTGAATTCTCCTATCCACTATCCCTTAACCCCGTGACGTTTCACTCAGAGGTCAAGGAATAGGAGATAGGGTTAGATTTTAGGAGCTGATTTTTGGATTATCGGAACGCAACCCCGCAGTCTCTTCTCCTAAATCCTTTTGAATTCTCCTATCCACTATCCCTTAACCCCGTGACGTTTCACTCAGAGGTCAAGGAACGATAGGAGCTGATTTTTGGATTATCCGACCTAAACCATAGCCTCCCTGACAAGGTTTAAGGCCAAGGCAGTCTTCCATCCATCCACCAGGTGGGGTGGCCGGGAAGGAGGGAAATTGTTTTCTTGTAAAATCGCAAATTTGTATGAGACATTTTTTTAATTGCAGGGAGGGATTTCGTCTGTCTTGAAGAGATGAAAAGTCCTTCAGTCAACACAGATAGGAGTCGCACAACAAATATTTGACTAAATGACTGTGATACCCTCCATTCAGTGTCAGAATCAACAGGATGGCAGAGAGACTTCACAGATAAATATAAGATTAAAAGGAATGAAGGCATTGAATAAAAGATGGATAACTGTGACGTGAGGAAACAGAGCAACAGATGACTGAATCTCTCTCTTGTACAGTTGATATTGAAGCCGTCAGTGAACAGCAGGTGGTAATGACTGATTCATCACCCAGCCACACACTCACGTGCGCTGTTCATTCAAGGTCTGCTCCTATGTAGAGGCTGCTTTGGAGTCATGCATCATGGTGCAAGTGTTTTAACCTTTGATTACTATTTTTAATTTCCAAAATTAAAGATGTGAAGTTACTTCATGTGATTTTGTATTGATCCTTCCTGCTCCTATTCTGTATTATTGTAGCACCATTTAAAAAAGAGCTGGGTTAACAGCAGAGCAACAATGCACCAGCATGGAATAGAAATGTGTATGTTTTCATTCACAGGATCCAGTCAGGTTAACAACAGGTAACGGGCTGTTTGTCCAACATTACAATAAGACAGAAAACTCATAATGAAAAGTATTACAGGAGCAAAGATATTTTACAGAGTTTTGTGTGCTGGAAATGGTTGCATCAAACCATATACTTGGATAAAACATACTGCTTTTCATCCAGATGTAAATATTAAACACTGTAATTTGTTCTTTTTTTTCCAGGATGATTTTTCAAACTTTGGAAAAGGGAACTGACTTAGGGGACACAATATTCAGGGTGCCACTCTTGTGTGAGTCCCATTAAGCAGCAAATCAAGTCAAAGTGCACTGAAATAC